TCCTCAAAATACATGGAAAAAACACACACACACTCTTTTCAGGGAAAATTTCTCTGCTCAGACGGAGTTGCTGAGAACACTTTTGCCAATAAGTTATTCTAGAAGGTAAATGGAGAAGTGTGGGACATTTTGGAATCTATTAATCGTAAATTTTGCTATGGGTGGTTAAGATACTGGGCACTCACCGTTTTCTGCTTGCTATTTCAAGGAAACACAATCTTGAGATGTTCTTCCAAAAACCCTTTCAAAGAACAAAAAAGGTCTCAACCTGAACTCAACAACAGGGTTTTCCTTTCACAAATGGGAGTAATCAGCTGGGCAGCTTAATATAAGTGAACTTTTCTCCAATTCAGCTTGTTCTCAGTTAGCCTCTCTCCAATTCTGTTTGTTTTTAGGCCTCCTTCCAAATGAACCAGCTCTCCAAACTGTCATTGTATAAAATAGCTTTGGTATACTGCACAGCAAGCAGTTATCCTAGTCATGTGACTTAAAGGAAGCCTTGTTTAAAAACACTCCAACGTCCACAGTGACCTTCCAATGACCTTTTTCAAGAAATCACACCAGATATTTTCACAAAACTTGTAATAAATTCATTTTCCGCAATACTTTAAAACTTAAGTTCTCCAAGTTGATGATGCTGTGGCTTTAAGGTGGTTATTTTGTCCTGCTTTTTTTTAAAAAAGAAAGAGATATTGGAGGACAGGTGCCAGGCAGTTTATGAGAAAATAAACGACTTGTGAAGCCTTGGGTGTTTTCTTTTAAAGCTGGGACAATAAAAGCACCATGAATGGGTTTGGTCAAGCTCCCATCCACAGAACAGGCAGCAGCTGCTGTTTGGGAGTTGAAGGAAGTAGAAGCTAATTTTCCCTCTTGATTACAGTTGGGGGCTGCTGGATTGCATGTGAGACAAAATCTGTTTTCTGAATTTGCCTTTTGCCAAAGGTATGTTTAGGGAATGTTACTGTATTGGAACAGTTATAGAGTCAGTCAGAGATATACAGCACAGACAACACACTTCGGTCCAACTCGCCCACGCTGACCAGATAACCTAAATAAACCTAGTCCCATTTGCCAGCATTTGGCCAATATCCCTCTAAACCCTTCCTATTCATATACCTATCCAGATGCATTTTTAAATGCTGTAATTGTACCAGCCTCCATCACTTCCTCTGGCAGCTCGTTCCATACACGCACCACCCTCTGTGTGAAAAAGTTGCCCCTTGGGTCTCTTAAATCTTTCCCCTCTCACCTTAACTTTGTTTTTGTCCCTTCTTCACTACCCTGTCTACGTGTGACTCCACTTTCAATGAACCATGAACCTGCATTCCAAGATCTTTACTCAGCAACACTGCCCTGGACCTTACCATTAACTGTATAAGTCCTGCCCTGATTTGCCTTTCCAAAATGCAGCATCTCGCATTTATCAAAATTAAACTCCAACTGCCACTCCTCAGCCCTTTGGCCCATCTGAACATGATCTTGTTGTATTCTGAGCTAACCTTCTTTGCTGTCCACTACACCTCCAATTTTGGTGTCATGTGCAAAATTACTAACCATACTGCTTACGTTCACATTCAAATCGTTTATATAAACGACAAAAAGCAATGGATTCAGCACCGATCCTTGTGGCACACCACTGATGACAGGCCTCCAGTCTGAAAGGCAACGCTCCAACACCGTCCTCTGTCTTCTATCTGTGAGCCGGTTCGGTTCCCAACTGGCTAGTTCTCCCTGCATTCCTTGAGATCTAACTCTGCTAACCGGTCTACCGTGAAGAACCTTGTCGAACGCCTTACTGAAGTCCGTGTAGGTCACATCCACCGCTGTGCCCTCCAAACCTCTTGTTACTTCTTAAAAAAAAAACTCAGCCGAGTTCGTGGGGCATGATTTCCCATGCACAATGCCATGGTGACTAACTCTAATCAGTCCTTGCTTTTCCAAATACATGTAAATCTTATCTCTCGAGATTCCCTCCAACAACTTGCCCACCACTGATGTCAGGCTCACTGGTCTACGGTTCCCTGGCTTTTCCTTACCACCTTTCTTAAATAGTGGCACCACGTTAGCCAACCTCCAGTCTTCCTGAACCTCACCTGTGGCTATCAATGATACAAATATTTCAGCAAGGGGCCCAGCAATCACTTCCCTAGCTTCCCACAGAATTCTAGCGTACACCTGAACAGGTCCTGGGGATTTATACACCTTTATGCATTTTAAGATATCCAGCACCACCTCCTCTGTAACATGGACATTTTTCAAGATGTCGCTACTTATTTCCTCATGTTCTCTATCTTCCACATCCTTCTCCACGGTAAACACTGATGCAAAACACTCATTTAGTATCTCCCCCATCTCCTGCAGTTCCACACATGGGTGGCCCAGCTAATCTTTAAGGGGCCCTCTTCTCTCCCTAGTCACCACCTTGTCCCTAATGTATTTGTAGAATCCCTTTGGATTCTCCTTAACCATATTTGCCAAAGCTAATGACATGTCTCCTTTTTGCCCTCCTGACTTCCCTCTTAGTATACTCCTATTACTTTCATACTCTTCTGGGGGATTACTCGATTTCTGCTGCCTATACCTGACATGTGCTTCAGTCTTATTCTTGACCAAAGCGTCAATTTCACTGGTCATCCAGCCTTCCCTACACCTACCAGGAACATATTGTCTCTGGACTCTCTACTCATTTTTGAAGGCTTCCCATTTTTCAGCAGTACCTTTACCTGTGAACATCCACCCACAATCAACATTTGAAAGCTCTTGCCTAATACTATCAAGTTACTGTATCTATCATTCTGTTAAGTTTTCCAATAGAGTTAAGTTATTCCACGTTTTTCCTTCTTTTGTTGTATTTTAACTATAATGTTTGAATAAACTGTTTTGTTTAATATTGAGTAGTCTGACCAATCAAATTGCATCTGGGACACAGCACCTGACATTTACCTCTAAAATAAGAAAGTGTTCAGGTCGAGGCTACCTTCTCGACATATTTTGATGGGGTGTGGTCTGGTGCATAGCACAAGCAATATTAAACATAAAACATCTTTATACTAATGATAAAAGATCACAGGTCTGAAATGCTAAATTTCTTGCTCCTCAAATGCTGCCTGACCCAAGTATTTTCAGGGGCTTCTGTTTCATGTGCAGCTATCACACTGCAAGGAATGAGGGCACATGGCATGGATGTTATCCTTCTCATTTTCGTCATGTATTTTGGCGGAGTGCACCTACCTCAACATTTTTTGCACCTCCACAACAGAATGTGGGAACTTGCCTTTGGGGAGAATAAAATTAAACTCTCCATGAGAGCATATTTGGGCCCCAATTTAGTTCAAACACATTTTATTAACTTTTCTATTGCTAATGTAATCATTACCAAGCAGCTGAGTTCTACCAAAGCAGTCTGTGCCAACAAGCTGTAGTTTACAACAGAGGAGGCAGCAATCTGATTGACTATTCTGTAAATGTGAGAAAAATCCAAAACCAATCCCTTGTTCAGCATTCTCCCACAACGATGTAACTTTCCCCAAAAAATCACATTGGTGTCTCAGTGTGTGACAAGGCTTTCCCAGCATTCTACCTAAATCAATTGCTCAGAATCTCCTCTTTTTCTTTTAGTGACAATTTTATATAAAGAACATTTGCCACAGACTCTTCAGCCAGAATTAGTCTGTACATCGTCATCTTATCGAAACTTTCCTAATTTTATAAACAAATTCCATTAACTCCACTCAGACTTCTCTGTTCCAATGTAATTCAAACATCTCAAGTCTCTCCTCATAAACAATAGCCCAATCTGATGAATCAAACCTGTCTGTTCTCTATTGCCTTAATGGTTCTTCTGATAACAGGAAACTCAAAACTGCATACTGGGCATTAAACTCTCAATTTCAGAGTAAAGTTAAGCTTCCAAGTCACAACAGGGGAAGACTTCAGAGTCTGCAGGCATTGAAGAGAATGCCATGGACTACTTGTAATTTGTGCAACAGGCAATTTTCAGAGCTTTTAATGTTGTTAATTGATGTATAGGGTATTGCTTGAACCTAATATGAAGTAGTCATGGCTACCTAACAACAACAATATTACTGCTATTCCTGCAGTTCAGAGAAAAGAAAAAAGAAAAATTCCAAATTATTTCAAATTATCAAATGAGGAAATTTACTGGCTTTCCTTAAAAGAATGTACGCATGATGGTTTGAAGATTATGAAAGAAATTAAATCCTAAGACAAATTTACTGCTCAACGTAAAGAACCAAACACTACCAGCTACGAAGTAAAAACTGGAACTTGATAAGTAAGACCAAGTAAAATACTTTTGACTTGAAGGATAGCTGAGTTCAGGGGAGATAGTGGCATAGTGGTAAAGTCACTGCATTTGTAGAACCCCAGCTCTGTGGACATGGTTTCAAATCACACTAAAGCAGATAATGAAATCTGAATTCGTCAAAAATCTGGAAGAAAAGTCTCATCTAATGGTGACCACGTAACCACTGTTGATTGTCATAAAAACCCACTTCATTCACTAATGTCCTTTAAGGAAGAAAATCTACCATCCTTACCTGGTCTGGCCTACATGTGACTGCAAACCCACAGCAATGTGGTTGACCCTATGGGTCCTGTCATCCACGTCCTGTCAATGAATGAAAAAAATACTGCAGCATCATCCACTGGGGAGGAACCAGTAAACCAGTGTAAACTGCATCAAGAGAATTGATACATTTTCAAAGAACAGGTCAACGAAGATGGCTGGAGCACAGTCACGTTGGATTCGTCTGTTAATGAAGAAATGGGGACCTACTGATTTCAACCTGTTCCTTAAATTCCCTACGAGGTATCTTCAAAAAGTAATATTTTTACTTCTGAAGTTTATAAGCATGTAAATGACAGAAAAGACTGAAATGAATAATGTGAACAATAGTTTGCATTTACATAGTGCCCTTTAGATGTGCGAGCACTTCAACTTCAAAAACGTCTTAAACAAAACTAAATCAAAAAATTACCTGTGATCTTGTTGGATCAGTTATTTTTAATGACTTGCTCTTCTCTATTTTGCAGAGCTGTGCTTTGGCCCTTCTCAGCAGGTTTGCAACTCGCTTATCAGTTGTTGGCATTTTGTCTGCTTGTGCAAGCATGCTACTAATAGCAGGTGCAGGATGTTTTAGAGTACCAGACGACAGCATCGCAGTAATGGAGGAATGTTGAGAAGGCGTGTCTTTATTGCCTATGGAAGCAGCTGCAGTGTTTTCAGTATCACCTATCACAGGGCCTACCTCTTCAGATCCAAGCCTGCCTTTCTTCGAATTCTTACTCCTCACATCTGACAGGTTTGCGGCTGGGCTATCACCCATTGCTGCTACACTTTTATCATTTGATATCAACTTTTTGGCTCTCCCTGAAACTTTCTTCATGGAAGATGAAGCAGCTGCATCCTCTGTAGCTCTGTCTTCATCCACCGCCCTGGGAAAAAGAAACAAAGGTGCAGCACTCTGAACCTCTGTTCCCTTACTCTGAGACTTTTTTTCTTTGTCTTTCCTTGTTTCACGTTTATTTTCCTTTTCTTTGTCTCGATCTCTGTCTTTCTCAGACCCTCTCTCATTGTCTTTCTCTTTGGATAAATCTTCAGTTAGTTTGTCTTTGTTTTTCCCTTTGTCCTTTTGGACGCTCGGTGCTAGTGATGGAAACAGCGGAGATGTTGGACTGGCAGAGTCCACAGAGAAGCTGTCCCCTGGAGTGCTGGTCTGTCTAGCTCCCAACTTTGATCTACCATCTTTATCCTTTACTGTTCCCTCAGTATGCACCAAAGTACCAAGAGGGGGAGTTAAGGCACCAGTTAGGATGGAGCTTACAGGAGATGAAGAGGCTACGGATGTCTGTGGAGTGACTGGCGACAAATCTGTGGAAATTAATCGCCCACTTCTGGTTCTCATGGAGTGCGAGGGAGATTTTGGATCAGTGCGACTTGGGATATGCATCTCTTTCTTCTTCCTTTTGGAAGAATGTCCTTTAGCCGACGCAGAAACAGAAGATCGACCCACAGCATGCGACGACACAGTAACAGACTCAAATATCCTGGAGTGAGCTTCACTCGGAGTGAATCGTGGGGCACGAAGTAGAGGACTTCTCTTATGAGTATCAAACCTAGAGGCAGGGTGAAGCTGTGAGAAAAAGCGTGGGGGTGGGGTGTTGGAGGACGCATGGAATCTGGACGGCAAGCCAACATCTTCAGGAGTCAAAGGTGACGTTATGAAGTTATCAAATATCGGCTTACGGATGAGTCCTTCTTTGGCATACTTTGCTGAGGAGAAGTACTGATGCGATTCTGGCCTCAGGTTTTTGAGCGATGTCCACTTAAACGTTGGCTCTCTCAAGATAGATTTCCGCTTCTCCGGCAGTGTGGTTGGTGGAATAAATGGTATTGTTGGAGGCATTAACCAGGGAGAGTGATCAGACATATTTGAAGATTGTTGCAATGGAGGGGGAGGAGAAAGCAAGGGTGGTGGCGGAGATGATGATGTTGGTTGCGGTGACGAAGTTGGCAATTTCTTGCTTGCTGTATTGCCTCTTTCCGGCATTGAGAATCGATGACCCTTTTTATCCATACCACCCGATTCACTCGACTGCGTAGTATTTAAGCAACTGTGCAAGTCTGTGGACTGGTTTGCTTCAGGAAGAGCCTGCAGTTCATCAGATGCCTGTGAATCAGTGGAGGTGACACTGGGGCTGCTTGACCTTGAAGAATCAGAGGACATTTGTGAAGAATGCTGTGAAACAGCACTAGACTTCTCACTAGACCCACAAGATATTGTGCTGAACCGACCAGCTGGAGTTGACTCTAGGCGTGGTACCTTGACAGGAGGAACGTAACTGTCATCTTCAATGAACCTTTTTGGAGTCTTAATTATCCTCGAAGAAATGGCACTGATTACTGGCATGATAAACTGACGAATATTTTTCAGCTGAGGTGAAGCCATCCGTTTCTGCGCTCCTTTTTTGGCTCTCTGCAGTAACTGTTTTGCAATGGCTGCATCTGTCCTTTTTGTGACAGGTACAACTCTGACTGGTTTAGTTATTCTGCGGGGCCTCTGTTTGACATCAGTTTTTACCTCCTTGGTCACCGACTGCTTTGGTGTTGATGTGACATCTTTCTCCTTACGAAATTTCTTTTGTTTCTTGGGTTGTGGAGGAACAAGTAGTTTTGGAACGGTCTTCAATCGCTCTGAGGATGGTGGCCTCCCTCTTCTCCGCTCAATCTTCCCCCCATTACTATTTATCTGTAGTTTAGCTTTCTTTAATTTGGACTGCAAAGGGGACAGTTTGACTGCCCTGAGCTTCTTGATTTTTGTAGCCTGCTGCAGTAACACAGACGGTTTCTTTTTAACTTTCTTTTCTTTTTCAGTTTTTTGCTTTTCTGCTTTCCCATTTGTTGTCACTTTCTTGTCATGCGAAAGATGAAGTTTGGGATTGCTCAGCACTGGAGGCCGACCTCTCCTCCTGTCCCCAGTGCTTAGCTCTTGCTTCTTCTCCTTCTCATCAGGCTTTAATTCAGGCTTGTTTGGAGGGGACAATGCAGAGGATGAATCAGATAGCACATCCGAGCTTTGAGAAGAAAATGTCCTTTGTCTTCCTCGAAGCTTCCTTTGAGGTGATTCAACTGAATGACAAAGAGAAACACTGAGGTTAGAAATCTTGAAAAAATTTTTAACTACAATATTAAGTTCAAGGTAAATTACTACATCCATGTTAATCACAGAGGCATCAAATGAAAACAAAACAAAATATATAGCAGTTTTATTAAGGATATAATACCAACAAATTTTATTTTTCTCTCTTCCCCCCCACCAAAAGAGACCTACTGCCTTTTTTTTTTAAAAGACAGGTAGCATAGAAGCTTAGATACCTACTGATACAATCAACTCCGGTCGAGTGGGCATTCCGACTACAGGGGGACACGAAATAGGGATGAAGAATGCAATCTTTAAAAATAATTAATGGAAAAGCTATATACATCACAAAACATTAAAAGGCAGACATGTGGTTAAACATAGGCAATTTCAATAATGTGTTGAAAGGACTGGAAATATGCTCAAGTCACTCTGACAAACAGAAACAGGTATCAAGCTCAACTTAAGGCATCAAATGCAACTATCAGTGCAGCGATTAGTGGGAATGAGGACTAAAGACAATCATAATGCCAAGTGATAAAGGATTTTGCTGTTGCTATGTAGAAGTCAGAGGTGGAAAAGGACAGGATCAGGATGGGCACAATGATGTTCCAGGTGGATGCTGGTGCTCAGGCACAGGCTCCACAGTTACAATGCAGAATCCACTTCCTGATGCCTGCTCCTTTTAGATTAACATCCAGGTTAAAGTGTACTTTTAAACTACCTTTTTGGTGGTAGCCTTTAAACACCCTGTTAGGCTGTACATGGACCATGCTTTCCCGAACAATGCCAGTGCCAGCCACTCAGAACAACCCAACACTTCAAAGGCGGCCTCAGTTGACAAACCCCTGAACTGAAATTGCAAGCCCCTCAATGTCTGTTTTAGCCACAAGGACACCTGTTTTGTTCCAACAGGTGATAGACAGGGATCTTCTGGCTCAGTGTGCATGCATTTCCTGCCTCCTATATCAGGGACTTTCAGACACTGTGCAATCAAATTTCCAGGCCCAAATATTTTGATTTTCAACTGTGCCAAGATCTGGAGTTGTTTTCCAGAGCTGAGAAGAGTTGATGGGAGTATTCAAAATAATGAACAGTGTTGTTAGAGTAAATCAGAAACTATTTTCAATGGTAACTGGTAATCAGAGGATACAGATGGAATGTAACTGGCAAAAGAACCTAATATGTCACACATAGGAAATGTCAAGACACAAGCAAGGATCTTAAATTCACTGAATCAGATAACAGGAAGGCCAATACAGATCAACATGAATCAAAGAGAAAAGTAAATGGGATTTAGAGCACAGCAAGATGTAAATGGTTGCATTTTCTACAAGTTACAATTTATCCAGGAGTGAAGGATGAATGGCCAATAGGGCAGAGAAATCAATAGCTGATGTGACAAAACCACAAATGAGCTAACTTTGTAAGCATGTGTTTCAACAGCAATGGGGAGCTGATGGTGGTAGTGTAAGACGGCAATGTTTTACCTGGTAGGGGTAGGAGGCAGATATCACAGCACTGGTGCTTCTAATGTTCGCCTGGAAGGAATTGTGACTAATTCACTACTTGATGCTTCAAAGCCGCCTAATGGCGCAAACATTATCATGGGATCAAGAGTGATGGAGAAGTAGTTTGTTTTAATTCTTTCACAGGATCCAGGCATCATGAATTAGGCTAATACTTATTGCTCATTCCCAAGTGCCCTTGTGCAAACGGTGGTGAGCTGTCTTCCTAGCTCATAGGGCTACACATACAACCCAGTGTTATTAGGAAGGAATTACAGGAATTTGACCCAGTGACAGCGAAGAAATTGCGATAAAGTTTCAAGTTAGGATGGTGTGCAGCTTGGAGCAAAATGTGAAATTGGTGATACTCCCACGCATCCACTGAACTCATCTTTCTAGATGGTAGAGTTTGCAGTTCAGAAGGTGTTACTAAAGGAGCTTTGGCGAATTACTGCAATGTACTTGCAGTACTGGGCTGCTGCTGAGCATCAGTGGTGGAATCAGCAAATATTTAAGGTTGCAGATGGGATACCACAAAAGGGATTACTCTGCCTTGGAGGGAGTTTAAGCTGCATAAAAACTCATCAGGCTGAATAGCTTACTGCTGCTCCTATGTTTTACAGTCTTCTCCAGGCAAGTGAAGCGTTCAATCACAGTCCTGATCTGTCCCTTATGGGCAGGCATTAGAAAGTCAACAGTTGAGTTACTGTTGCAGAATTATAAAGTCATAGAGTTGCACAGCACGGAGACAGACCCTTCAGTCCAACTTGTCCATACTGACCTGGTATCCTAAATTGATTTAGTTCCAGTTGCCAGCATTTGCCCATATTCAAATACACATCCAGATGCCTTTTAAATGTTGTAATTGTACCAGCCTCCCCCACTTCTCTGGCAGCTCATTCCATACTCGCACCACCCTCTACGTGAAAATGTTGCCCCTTAGGTCTCTTTTAAATCTTTCCCCTCTCACCTTAAACCTATGCCCTCTAGTTTTGGACTCCCCTACCCTGGGGAAAAGACCTTGGCTATTTACCCTAACCATGATTCTACCCTTTATGATTTTATAAAGGTCTATTAATGTCACCCCTCAGTCTCCAAGGCTCCAGGGATTATAGCCCCAGCTTATTCAGCCTCTCCTTATAGGTCAAACCCTCCAATCCCAACAACATCCTTACATATTTTTTCTGCACCCTTTCAAGTTTAACAACATCTTTCCTCCAGCAGGGAGACTAGGATTTAACGCAGTATTCAAAAATAGGCCTAACCTATGTCCTGTACAGCCACAACATGACATTGCGACTCCTATACTCAATGCACTAACCAATAAAGGCAGGTGTATCTTCTTCACTACCCTGTCTATCTGTGATTCTACTTTCAGGGAATAATGAACCTGCACCTCAAGGTCTCCTTATTCGGCCACACTCCTCAGGACCTTACCATTAAGTGTATCAGTCCTGCCCTGACTTATCTTACCAAAATGCAACACCTCACACGTATCTAAATTAAACTTCATTTGTCACTCCTCAGCCCTTCACCCATCTGATCAAGATCCCGACGCACTCTGGAGATAATCTTCTTCACTGTCCATTCCGCCACCAATTTTGGTGTCATCTGCAGATTTACTAACCGTACCTCCTATATTCACATTCAAATCATTTACATAAATGACAAAAAGCAGTGGAGCCAGCAACTACCCTTGTGGCACACCATTTGTCAGAGGCCTCCAGGCCAAAAAACAACCCTCCACCATCCTCTGTCTCCTACCTTCTAGCCAATTTTGGATGCAAACAGCTAGCTCTCACTGGATACCAAGTGATCTAACCTTATTTACCAGTCTACCATTGTTGAATGCTTGCTGGAATCCACACAGACAACATCCACCACTCTGCCTTCCTCAATCTTCTTTGTCACTTCTTCAAAAAACTCAAATCAAGTCAAGTCAGTGAGACACGATTTCTCATGAACAGAGCCACGGTGACTATCCCAAATACATCCAAATTCTGTCCCTCAGAATGCACTCCAACAACTTAGCCATCACTAAAGTCAGGCTCACCAGTCCCTAGTTCCTTGACTTTTCTTTGCCACCTTTCTAAAGTAATGGCACCACATTAGCCATCCTCCCTAGACTTAGGAATCTGACCTGTTCTTGTCGTCTCAGTTACTTATATGGCTGGCCCAGTTCAGTTTCTGGTCAACGATCTAATGTTGACAGAGGATATTCAGTGATGGCAATGTAATTGAATGTCAAGCAGAGACCACTAAATTCTCTCTTGTTGGAGATGGCCACTGTCTGGCACATTACTGCCTGGCACTTGTGTGGCATGTTACTTGCCACTTATCACCCTAAGCTTGAACAGCGTCCAGGCCTTACTGCACACAGTTTTTGTAATTCACTCGTGAGACATGGGCACGGCCATCCGGCCCTAGTTGCCTTTGAGAAGGTTGAGGTGATCTGCCTTTATGAACCACTGCAGCATGACCCACAACGCCATTAGGGAGGGAATTCCAAGATTTTGACCCAGCGACAGTGAAAGAACAACGATATATTTCCAAGTCAGGATGCTGAGTAACATGGAGGGAACGTTGCAGGTGACGGTGTTCCCACATATCTGCTGCCCTTGTTCTTCTAGATGGAAGTGGTTGTTGGTTTGGAAGATGCTAGTGATTTTTGATGAATTTCCACAGTGCATCTTGTAGATAGTAGCAGCAGTGTGTGCTGAGAATCAGTGGAAGAGGGAATGGATGTTTTTGGATGTGGTGCCAATCAAGCAGGCTGCATTGGCTTGGATGGTGTTAAACTTGAGTGTTGCTGGAGCTGCACTCATCCAGGCAAGAAGGGAGTATCCCATCACACTCCTGACTTGAGCCTTGTAGATGGTGAACAAGCTTTGTGAAGTCAAGAAGTGAGTTACTCACTGCAGTATCCCTAGCCTCTGACTTGCTCTTGTAGCCACTGTGTTTATGTGACATGTCCTGTTGAGTTTCTGGTCAATGGTAACCCCAAAGAATGTTGGTAATGGGCAATTCAGTGATACTAACACCACTGAATGTCACGGGCAGTGATTAGATTGTCTTTTACTGGAGATGGTCATTACCTGACATTTGTGTGGTGTGAATGTCACTTGCTATTTGTCAGCCCAAGCCTGGATATTGTTCAGATCTTGTGTATTTGAACACGGACTGCTTCAGTATCTGAGGACTCACGAATGTTGTCGAACGCCACTATCATCCGCGAATGTCCCCACTTCTGATCTTATGATAGAGGGGAAGTCATTGATGAAGCAGCTTGGGGCAGCACAGTGGCACAGTGGTTAGCACTGCTGCCTCACAGCACCAGGGACCCGGGTTCAATTCCACCCTTGGGCGACTGTGTGGAGTATGCACATTCTCCCCGTGTCTGTGTGGGTTTCCTCCCACAGTCCAAAGATGTGCGGGGTAGGTGGACTGGCCATGCTAAATTGCCGTGTTTAGGGACGTGTAGGTTAGGTGGGTTATAGGGGGATGGGTTTGGGTGGGTGCTCTGAGGGTCGATGTGGACTTGTTGGGCCAAAGGGCCTGTTTCCACACTGTTGGGATTCTATGATCTAAAATGACTGAGCCTAGGATTATACCCTGAAGAATTCCTGCAGTGACAGCCTGGAGCTGAGGTATCGGACCTCAAATAACCACAACCATCTTCCTATGTTCCAAGTATGACTCCAACCAGCAGGAGAGTTTGCCCCCAATGTTCACTGATTCACTCAATCACTTAGTCAAATACAGCGTTAACGTCAAGGGCTGTCACTCTCACCTCACGTCCAGAATCCAACAGTTTTGCTCATGTTTGAACCACGACTGTCACAAGATCAGGAGCTGAGTGGCCCTGCTGGAACCCAAACAGAGCACGGACCACTTGAGTATCTGACGAGTCATGACAGACATTCAAATTGTGCAATCATAAGTATCCCCACTTCTGAACTTACAATGGAGAGAAGGTCATATGTGAAGCAGCTGAAGACCTTGCGTAGGACACTGTCCTGGGGAATTCTTGCAGTGATGCCCTCGGATTGAGGCAACTGATCTTCAACAACCACAACCAACTTCCCTTATACTAGGTTTGACTCTAACCAGCAGAGGGTTCTCTTGTTGCCACTGTGCTGCTCAGCTTACATTATAACCTTTCATAATCTTTTCAAGCCTTAATTTTAAAGGGGAAGAAATCGTAGTTTTCCCTCAGACTAGAATCGTGACTTTTTACATTCTCTCATACATCCGCTTAACTAGCTGAATTTTTTTTTCTGCTCAGATTTCCAGCATCTTTAATATTTTACTTTATGTCCTGAACCTACTTAGCTCTCATGAAAATATTTGAGATGTTAATTCTTGCTTCATTACTATGAAAATTCACACTGGTGCAGAATTGCCAAACCTTAAGGATCCAAAAAAAATTATCAAAAAAACTCAATCCAGTACAAACATAAAACAGAAAATGCTGGAAATACCCATCGGGTTTGGCACAGCGCGTGAAGAGAAAAATGGACTTAAAAAGGCAGTCAACCTTAACATTTACAATTTGTGGCCAGTTAAAGGAAGGTGAGAAAAGACTGTCTCTTCAGGCCTCATTAAAGTCCTTGTTTTGCTCCTAGTCTGTGTCTAACCAAAATCGGCACTTCCCTCAGCATGATTTGACAACTGCTTCCTCGTAGGAACTGGTCATTTTCCCACTGTCTCAAATCAGAAAACTTCAGAGTGCTGCTCACCAGATTAGAGTAATATAGCATAACATATAGCAGCGACAACAGCCTAACCAAATGTTTTTGTGACATGTTAAATTGGCCCCAAGAAATTATTTTATAATAACTTACGAACAACAATATTTTCCAAATGTCTGATGGCGAAGAGTCTAGCAGCGTTTGAAAACTGCCGACAAATTCTCAAGCTTCTATGTTATTTTAATAAACTTTTTTGAATTCCTAAAGGAGAAATCCTTGCTATCCAGTGGTTGAAATATCGAAATGAGTTGGAATAATACATAATTCCATTACAGCAGACCTTAAAAGCTATTTTTCCTCTATTATGAGCCAGAGATTTGAGTAACATCTGACCCAAAGATCAAAATGTTAAAAACAGAATATGAGCTCCACCAATGCCCGATTAAATGCTATTTCCCAGTGAAGTATTAAATCATGCCAACTGGAAGGCAGCAATTAGGGCATAAACAGGATGCAGAGTTGGTTGAAATTAAGCTCCTGATTGGTACCTAAATACATCTACTGAAAAGGATGCACATGTGGAAAACAGATGATGACAGAGTCAGCTTTGATGCACAGTGTGGTCCAACATCTACTATCCAGCTTACACAAGTCAACTGTGTGGTATGAATGAAATTCTCCACCTCTAAAATGACACCCAGTGAGTGCCAGGACCTATGATACATGGAGAACAGGAAAGAGTTGGGAAGACTTAAGAATTGTAGTGTGAGCTCTAAAAATTGGACTGTTTATCATGAAATCCAACTTAAAACTTAAGCAAAATTCAATACTGGCACCTGCCAAAAACTGAAGGCTGTCCAATGAACCAAAAAGGTGAATAAACAGCTCATGAAGATCTGTAAAGACCTTAAATGGAAGTGCTGTTTTGTATGAATGAGAAATTGGATCTTACGGAGAACAGGCATTGACTTGCTAAAGTGGTTTGAAATGTGGGTTTGGAGAAGAATGAAAAGAATCAGTTGGACAGAGAAAGTAACAAATAAAGAAGCGTTGTAAAGAATAAATGAACAAAGAAACCTGCTAAATGTAATTAAAAACAGACAAAATCTCAGTAGGTACATCCCAAGAGTCTCACAGCACGGAAACAGACCTTTCAGTCCAATCCGTCTGCGCTGATCAGACATCCCAATCCAATCTAGTCCCATTTGCCAGCATTTGGCCCATATCCCTCTAAACCCTTCCTATTCATATACCAATCCAGGAGCCTTTTAAATGCTGTAATTGTACCTGCCTTTACCGCTTTCTCCTCTCACCTTAAACCTATGCCCTCTAGCTTTGGATTCCCCCCACCCTTGGCTATTCACCCTATCCATTGCCCCTTGTGATAGTATAAACCTCTAAGGTCACCCCACAGCTTCCAATGCTCCAGGGATGAAAGCCCCAGCCTATTCAGCCTCTCCCTATAGTGCAAACGTTCCAGTCCACAACAGGACATCCCATCTCCTACACTCAATGCACTGACCAATGAAGGCAAGCACGCCAAACGCATTCTTCATCACCGTTTACCTGCGACTCCACTTTCAAGGAACAATGCACTTGCACCCCTAGGTGTCTCTGTTCAACAAGACTCCCCAGGGCCCTACCATTAACCGCAGAAACAGATTTGTAACAGACATTATAGAGAAAAGATTTCAGAAAAAGTATAGCGAAGAAAGAGAATATCAATGCTTAATTACTTGAAAATTGAAGAGTATTACTGGGAAATAAAAGAATGGGTCAGGATACAGACATGGAAGAAATGCTATGAGGTAAGAACATGCCTTTGGGCGGGGAAGGGAGGGTGTTGGAAGGAGGAGGAGGAGGGGTATGGTGATTTTGGAGTGCATATATACCAACACAAAAACGGCAACATTTACCTCTCTGGGGTCTGGAATGGCATCTTGTAGGGCTTCGTACACTGTTGTCATCTGAGCAGAAACCCAAAAACTGTTCATCCTGAAAGACAAATATAATCAAAATATGAAATTAAGAAAATACATTTGACAGTGCAGAAAGAGGTCATTCAGTCCATCATGTCTGTAGTGCTAGCTCTCCAAATGAACATCACTCATTCTCCTTCCTTTCTTCATATCCTTGCATATTTAAATAGAAATAATCATCCAATGTCCCCTGAGTGCCTCAATGGAACCTGTATCCATCAACAGCTCCCAGCCAGTGCATTCCAAAGCTTGTATGAAAATGTTTTTTCCTCAACTTACATTTGTTTCTTTTGCAAATCACTTTAAACCTATGCCCTCTCATTATTTATCCTTTTAGGAGCAGACTCAGGAGCAGCAAGGGCTGTTTTGATTTTAGATGACCGGGTAGGAGAACACTACCCATTTCAGCGCAGAAAAGGCTACTTTATTTAATTAAGACAAATGAGTTGCATTAGGATGCCAAACAAACATTCCACTTCAATTCTTGCAATTGGCCAAGGCAGCCACTATTTACTAAATTTTACTATGTAGAGAACTACGCTTTTATGTTGCTTTTCGATCTTCAGGACAACTCAAGTTAGAGGCTGGACCCAGAGCCGAAATGTCAGCTTTCCTGCTCCTCTGATGCTGCCTGGCCTGCTGTGTTCATCCAGCTCTACACCTTGTTATCTCAGACTCCAGCATCGGCAGTTCCTACTATCTCAAGTTAGAGTCAATGACTTTTCAAGAAGGATAGTAGACATAAATCAGGCAATTACAGACCAGTGAGTCTCACGAGTGGTAGAGAAATTTTTGGAAAAAAAGTCTGAAGGACAGCATTAATCTCCACTTGCGAGAAGCAAGGTTTGATCAGGAACAGTCAGCATGACTTTGCCAGAGGGAGGTCATGACAAACAAATTGATTTCATTTTTAAGAGGTGGTGACTAGGTGTGGAGATTAGGGTAGTACAGACGATGTAGTTTATTTGGATTTAAGCAAAGCCTTTGACAAGGTCCCACATAGGAGAAAAGAAGACAAAACCATTTTTTGATTATACGTTTTTAATCAAGCTCTGTCTCGATTAAAACTTTAAAAATATAAAAACGTAGGTACTAAGTTAGCCTGGAGCAGTGTTTTTAGAGCAGTAAGACTGTGCTATTTTCTGGGTCTATAGATTGTTAAGGTGCAAAAATGGCCTTCAGTAGAGTGATGTGCTGTTCCTATCAGATGTGGGAGATCAGGCAGAGTTTCCAATGTTACTGATGATATGTCTGCAGAAATGTGCTGGTTTGCAAATCCTATCAGAATATGTGGATCAGTTGGAGTGGCAGCTAGAAGCAACGAGGAATTTACAGGAGCTAGGTGTGATGGATAGCAGTTGCAGGAAGCGAAATGAACTGAAGATGCAGTCAGGTAGATAGGTTACCTGCGGGAAGGGTAGGATAGGGAGACAGGTCGTGCAGGAATCTCCTGTGGCTATCCCCATCTCAAACAAGTATGCTATTCTGGAAAACGTAGGGGATGATGGACTCTCAGGGGATGTGGCACTGACAGCCAAGCTTCTGAGACTGGCTCTAACGTTATGCAGGGTATGTCAGGTTTCAAGTGATCGATTGTGATAGGGGACTCTCGAGTCAGAGGCATGGACAGACATTTTTGCAGCCAACAGCAAGACATTAGAATGGTGTGTCACCTCCCTGGTGCCAGGATCAAGGGTATCTGGGAGAGGGTGCAGAATATTCTCAAAGGGGAAAGGGACAAACAGGAGGCCGCTGTACACATTGGAAGAGAAAAGGATGGAATTCTGAGGACAGAATATAGGAAGTTAGGAATTTAAGGAGGAGGTTCTTGAGGATTATTCTTGGTGCCACAAGTGAGGGTAGGAATAGGATAATAGAGCAGATGAATGCATGGCTGAGGAGCTGGTGCAAAGAAGGATTCACATTTTTGGGCCATTGGAGTCTCTTCTGGGGTAGAAGTGGCCTGTATAAGAAGGATGGATTGCACCTGAATTGGAAGGGGACTAATATACTGGCGGGGAGATTTACTAGAGCTGCTTGGGAGGATTTAAACCAGTAAGGGGTTGAGGGTGGGAGGGGGTCTCGGAGATAGTGAGGGAAGAGATCAGTCTGAGACTGGTACAGTTGGCAAAAGAAGCTAGTTAGGATAGACAGGAACAAGGTGGAGAATAAGGTAAGAGTAATAAATTAAACTGCATTGATTTCAATGCTGAGGCCCAACAGGTAAAGCAGATGAACTTAGGGCATGGCTGGGAACATAGCCCTGGGATATCACAGCAATTACGAAAATGTGGCTCAAGGACAGACAGGACTGGCAGCTTAATGTTGCGGGTGTAGATGCTATAGGAAGGATTGAAAGAGGGGCAAGAGAGGAGTGGGATTGGTGTTTTTCATGAGGCATTAAATTACAGCTACACTTAGGGACGCTATTTCTGGGAATACATCCAGGGAAGTTAGTTGGTTGCAACTGAGAAATAAGAAAGGGATGATCACCTTATTAGGATTGTACTATTGACCCCAACCCCCACCCACCACCGATTGAGAAACAAATTTGTAAGGGGATATCAGTTATCTGTAAGAACAATAGAGTAGTTGTGGTCGGGATTTTAACTTTCTAAACACAGACTGGGAGAGCCACAGAGTTAAGGACATGAATGGAGAGAAATTTGTTAAGTCTGTACAAGAAAATTTTCTGATTTAGTATGTGGACGTACCTACTAGGAAAGGAGCAAAACTTGACCTACTCTTGGGAAATAAGGCAGGGCAAGTGATTGACAGGCCAGTGGGGGGAGCACTTTGGGGACAGGGACCATAATTCCATCAGTTTTAAAATGCTGATGGAAAAGGATAGACCAGATCTAAAAGTTAAAGGTTTAAACTGGAGGAAGGACAATTTTGACAACATTAGCCAAGAACTTTCAAAAGTTGATTGGGGACAGATGTTTGAAGGTAAAGGGTTACAGGAAAATGGGAAGCCTTCAGAGAGTCCAGAGACAGTACGTTACTGTTAGGGTAAAAGGGCAAGGCTGGTAGGTGTAGGGAAGGCTGGACAACCAGTGAAATTGACGCTTTGGTCAAGAATAAGAAGGAAGCACATCACGTATAGGCAGCAGAAATCAAGTAATTGCCCAGAAGAGTATAAAAGTAGGAGAAGTATATTAAGAGGGAAGTCAGGAGGCAAAAAGGGGACATGACATAGCCTTGGCAAATATGGTTAAAGAGAATCCAAAGGGATTCATTACATTAAGGACAAGGGTGGTAACTAGGAAGAGAACAGGGTCCCTTAAAGATTAGTTGAGCCACCCATGTGTGGAACTGCAGGAGATGGGGGCGATACTAAATGAGTGTTTTGCATCAGTGTTTACCGTGGAGAAGGATGTGGAAGATAGAGAACATGAGGAAATAAGTAGCGACATCTTGAAAAATGTCCATATTACAGAGGTGGTGGTGCTGGATGTCTTAAAATGCATAAAAATGCATAAAGATATCTCAATCCCCAGGACCTGTTCAGGTGTACGCTAGAATTCTGTGGGAAGCGATTGCTGGGCCCCTTGCTGAGATATTTGTATCAATGATAGCCACAGGTGAGGTTCTGGAAGACTGGACGTTGGCCAACTTAAGAAAGGTGGTAAGGAAAAGCCAGAGAACCACAGACCAGTGAGCCTGACATCAGTGGTGGGCAAGTTGTTGGAGGAAATCCCAAGAAATAGGATTTACATGTATTTGGAAAAGCAAGGAATGATTAGAGTTAGTCACCATGGCATTGTGCGTGGGAAATCATGTCCCATGAACTTGACTGAGTTTTTTGAAGTAGTAACAAAAAGGATTGATGAGGGTATAGCGGTGGACATGACCTACATGGACTTCAGTAAGGCATTCAACAAGGATCTTCACAGTAGACTGGTTAGCAAGGTTTGACCTCATGGAATGCAGGGAGAACTAGCAGTTGCAAACAGAACCGGCTCAAAGGTAGAAGACAGAGGGTGGTGTTGGGAGTGTTGCCTTTCAGACTGGAGGCCTGTCATCAGTGGCTTGCCACAAGGATCGGTGCTGGATCCACTGCTTTCTGTCATTTATATAAATGATTTGAATGTGAACATAGGCGGTATGGTTAGTAAATTTGCAGATGACAAAATTGGAGGTGTAGTGGACAGCAATGGAGGGTACCTCAGAATACGACAAGATCTTGAAATGCGAGGTGCTGCATTTTGGGAAGGCAAATCAGGGCAGGACTTACGCACTTAATGGTAAGGTCCCGTGCACTGTTGCTGAACAAAGATCTTGGAGTACAGGTTCATGGTTTATTGAAACTTGAGATGCAGGTAGATAGGATAGAGAAGGTGGCATCTGGTATGCTTGCTGTTATTGGTCAGTACATTGAGTATAGGAGTTGGGAGGTCATATTGCGGCTGTACAGGACATTGATTAGGCCACTATTGGAATACTGCGTTCAATTCTGGTCTCCCTGCTGTAGGAAGGATTTTGTGAAACTTGAGGGTTCAGAAAAGATTTACAAAGATGTTGCCAGGGTTGGAGGATTTGAGCAATTGGGAGAGGCTGAATAGGCTGGGGCTATTTTTCCTGAAGCATCAGAGGCTGAGGAGTGACCTTGGAGGTTTATAAAATCACGAGGAGAATGGATCAGGTAAATAAACAAGATCTTTTCCCCAGGGTGTGGGAGTCCAAAACTAGAGGGCATAGGTTTACGGTGAGAGGGGCAAGATTTAAAACAGACCTCAGGGGCAACTTTTTCACACAGAGGGTGGTGCATGAGTGGAATGAGCTGCCGCAGGAAGTCGAGGCGGCTCGTACGATTACAACATTAAAAGGCATCTGGATGGGTATATGAATAGGAAAGATTCAAAGAGATATGGGCCAAACGCTGATAAATGGGACTAGGTTTATTTAGGATATCTCATCGGCATGGACGAGTTGGAGCATAGGGTCTGTTTCTGTGCTGTACATCTCTATGACTATGTGAAATCCAGGGTAATTTGGCAAGTTGGATACAAAATTGGCTTTGTGGCAGGAGACCAAGGATAATGGCAGAAGACTGCTTGTGGGACTGGAAGCTGGTGTCCACAGGAATCAGTGCCGGGTCTCTTAT